CTGAAATGTGCTAGTCTTCCACGCGATTAGTGAAATGTGCTAGTCTTCCACGCGAGAATCTGAAATGTGCTACTTTTCGACGCGAATAATGAAATGTGCTAGTCTTCGACGCGAATAGTGAAACGTGCTAGTCTTCCACGGTAATTTGAGATGTGCTACTCTTCGTTGGGAGCGACGATATATATCCATAGGGTTCTCGGAAACGGTTCTAACGATTTTGATGAAATTTTGTACACAGATAATGTTTTGGATTCTAAGGTTATCTGAATAGGCATCATCTCCGATAAGACTCTTATAAGGTTGCCACCTATTCGAAATTAGTTACAAATTAATTAAAACATCATAATATGGGCATCAAATGGAAGGTATTTTAAAGATCCCTAACTCAAAAATATTTATAATATGGTTGCCACGTGTTTTGAAAGTTTGACTTATCTTCATTGTGAAGGCTGTTTTAAACACTTTTGTACTGAATTGAGTACAATGAGTAAAACGTACAAATATATCATTTTAATACTCTATTTGTGCTCCCTTGACTTTAATTAACTGCAATATGGGCTCTCTCATACTTAGATACAATAGGTGTATTCTGGAAGTCTTCCACGATGCACGGATTGCACGAAATGAAAAAATATTCAGGCCTATCACAGATTCCGAGTGAACTTCCATCGTGAAAAAATCTCCCGTCACGAAATCGGGAGAAATGCTATCAGCAGTTCCGACGCATTCATAGTTAGTGCCACCTTTGGTTTTTTTGTTTATGTTTTGGTTTAATAATTCAGTGATACCACTCTCACGAATTTCGAATTTGCGGGAGAATTTCGTGATCACGACGGAATTGATGATAGGCCTGACTATTCCAAATTTGGAAGAGTACAAGAGCACCCCATTGCAAAGTGGTAGCATGCATAGGCAGAAATTCTGTATCAAATACAATAACAAGGTACAGCAAAAACGAGCGAGTGAGCGAGATGAGAGGAATGAAAGAAACATGTAGCAATTCCAACAACAGAACAACTAGCACAGGATCGCATTTATTTTGTTATGCTTTTTTGAAAAATATTCGACCTTTCATATTTTGCAGCGATAGGAAATATTGTTTCCCATATATTTCGTTGTTGTGTGTTTGCAAGTTATGCAATCCGTGTAATACATGCTACGTGCAGCGGCTTTACAAGATTTCGAGAATACCCCTAATGTCTTCAGTAAAGCAGCATCCAGTTTATGCCACTCTGGCAAAATCGATAATTTTAGAAAGTTAACGCTTTCAAAATGACAGTTATCAGCGTAAACTTCTCTTGCAGGTACTCCCCACACATTTGTTAGTTACACCCAGAAAAAGGTTTAATTATAATTACCAAGGTGTGGTTATAGTGACCAAGAAGCATAGTTGGATATGGCGAAATAAGTATCTAGTTCGCAAAAGTCTTCAATTTACTTGAGACCAGTGTTACCAACTTTTGAGTTTCAAAAAGCACCAAAACTTGAAAAAAAGCGTTTTACAACACTAGAAGCCCTACATTTTTTTTGAATCAAAGGATACTTTTTCCTAACAGTTTGTATTTAACAAGAGTAAAAAAATAAACAATATTTACAAGTATAAATCAATACAAAAAACTTTTTCGATTTCATAACGATTGAACAGCCTCTACACATGCCATGATTACTCATGCTTACGAAATAATACCGAAGTACTGCACAATAAAACTGGTATACATATCTCGAGAAAGAAAAATCTAATCGTAACTAAAATTAATTTCATAGGGGAAGAGTAATACTAAATGATGCCCTAAGTAGAAAAAATTGTTGTTTTCATAATTTAATCTCAAATATCGCAAAAAACCGTGTTTTGACACTTTTAGGTTAGGATATCTCACGTGCTGGAGCAATTCTGCGGCCACATTTGGATTCAGCACCAAAATATCTACAACATACGATGTGTTTTACTCAGGTGGTAAAAAAGTCAAAAATTTGCCGAACTGTGTAATCAATCAAAATATGTACAAATAACTATAAAAGAAATACTTAATTTATGGTGATTTCGTTTCTTCCAAAAACTGTTGCCCTTCCCGGTAC